CCCTGTCAGGTGCTCGCTGCTCGCATCACTACAATTTAATCAGCCAATGCTAATATAATCGGCACTTCTGCTGTTTACGAGCCGTGCTAATTGTTGTCCTCCATACGGAACCCAAACCCCGTCATTATTGCCCTCCTCAGTCAGTGAGATTGCCACTTTTGGAACGCTCCCAATGCCGACACTACTCATCGAGAAATCCCACTTCCTGCATTAAAAAAAAATTTTTTTTTGAAATAACTGTTCATTCATTTTGATAATTTTTACTAACGGGTTTCTGTATTTACATGGTTTTTATGCGTTTTTGCGTATATGCAAATTGCAAAAACGCATATTGGAAACAGAATTAGTAATACATGAAAAACGCATATTTTTCGTGTATTACTAATTCTGTCTTATTTCTCTAATATTATCCATGCTAGTTACTATTTAATGTTAGGCACTGTGATGTCCTCTTCAGACGCAACGCTAGCCTGCCAGTGCTATTGTCTGTTTTTGCACTTCTTTGAAGCAACCAGGTCATTAACTGTATGAATGGTTCTTGCTTTACATTTACCTTGTACACTCACTAGGAAAGTGAACAATTTCCGTTCAGCGGACGTCCTTTGGAAATGAGCAATTTCCCCGCCAAAACTTTTAAGTGCCTGTACGTGAAAAAACAGGCGTGGCCGAACCGGGCTTTATTGCTGGCCAATCACTGAAGCCGGCTCGGCCACGCAATATGCGCTCGTTTAGGGGTTTGGGTGAGATTTGCGGTGCCGTTTTTTACGTGCGTGCTACGTTTTCTCGAGGGCTTTTTACTGGCATCTAGTTGCTTATTTAGCATCATAAGCCTTATAACTCCCCCGCCCCGCCCCATCCTCCTCTCCTTGCCTCCTCCCATTATTGCCGTTGTCTCTGGTTCCGCCAAGCAAGGTTTTAGCTCCTTTCGAACCATTATTCCGATTTCCTCCCTTCTGTTACGATCTCTGAATCGTTCTCACTCACCTCCACCATACCCCAGCTACCCACAGAATATGCCAAATCCATCGCAACTCGCCCTGAGCCGAGACGAGACGAGCCGAGTTTTGGTAATTGCCAAGAAGTGAGAAGCGGTGGATTTCAAAATTTTCTGTTAAATGTTTCATTAGGAAATTGTACTGCAGAATTTCTGTTGATCATCTTTATCCAGAAAAGGCCGAAGCCGAGGTTTTCTGGAAGTTCTAAAAGCAGCGGCCAGGACCCGTGGTTTGCTGGAGGGGAATTTCAAAACAGCGACAAGATGAGGGTTTCCGGTGGCGCGGAGGGGTTGGCACAGAAGTAATTGTACCATTGTAGCACTTTTTTGTATGTTTTGTGCTGTGTAACGCGGCAACTTTAAATTCATCCTCCCCATACCCGCTGGTAACGCGTACGGCTCCATGAAAGGCTTTTACGGGTAAATTAATATCTCGAGAACCACGGGGTCTAGGAGGCTGAAATTTTATGGTAATGACCCCCTGCACGCTCAACCTTGCCCATTCAAATTCAGCCTTCCCAGGCTCTCGGGTATCACCTACAAGCTAGTGAATGTTTTCAAGGGTAAATTATTATCTCGGGAACCACGGGGTCTGGGAAGCTGAAATTTTAGGGTAATAACCCCCTGTCGACGCTCAACCTTGCCTATTTAAATTCAGCCTTCCCATGCCCGGGGTAACACATACGGCCCCGTGAAATTTTTTTACTGGCAAATTAGTATCTCAGGAACCACGGAATCTAGGAGGCTGAAATTTTAGGGTAATGAACCGCTGTCTACGCCCAACTTTGCCCATTCAAATTCAGCGTTCTCTCGCTGTCGAGTATCGTCTACGGCCTCGTGAGAATTTTGGCGGTTAAATTTTTAACTACTTTCCAATTTTTGAACTATTTTTGCATAGACAAAAGTACAAAGCAGTGAAAATCATTAATAGGCAATCGTTCGATGGTAGAACTATTTTTGCATAGACTAAAATACAAGGAAGTGAAAATCATTAACAGGCAATCGTTCGATGGGTTGAACTGCACAAAGACGCATGATCGCACCGGCTAGTCTGGTGCGCGTTGCTATTTATTACAATTACGGAATTGCACAAAACGCATGATCGCACCGGCTAGTCGTTGTTATTTATTTTGTGTTTCAGATATATTTGCAAGTGTTTCGATGGAAAAGACGCTTGAAATGAGTGTTTTTTGGCGAATCTATTAATAAGCATCTGCTGGGGGAATTTAGCTCCGGTGTATTTTCAGGATTATTCGAGCTCCAGTTGTTCTCCCGCGCAAAAATGAATCAAACTGTTTCAACGGAGCAAAAGATGGAAATCATGCGTCTGGAAATGGATAATTTCCTGATGCGTCTGGAACCACGATTGCGCGAACGGTTAACTGCATCGCTGCAGCAAGCACTCATCGAAAGTCTGTTGGATGGAACCGTTTTTGCAATCGTCGAATCACTAAGCGATCTGCAACGCATGAACGAAACGTGGGGGGTTTTTTTTAAATTCATTATACCCGTAAAATTTCAGCTTTCTAGCTTTTCTGGTTCCCGGGTTAGCAGCTTACCCGCCAAGAAACTTTGACTGCCCGTACGTGGGAATCACGTAGGCAGGGGCGTCCATTTTGGGGGTGGGAATGCGGGCTAATTTATAGTCTGCTGCTCCAACTTGTGCAACTGTGTTAACTTTTCCAGTTGTTTTTTCTCTAGTGCTGCTTTGCCTGACGGTCAGCCTGCTTGCAACTTTGACATTTTTTCCTTCTCTTGGACAGATTTGTTAGGCAGACGATTCTCAGGAGAAAGGCATTTCAGAAAACTTTTTTTATGCGTTTTTGCATATATATAAATTGCAAAAACGCATATTGAGAAGAGGCCCTCTGTGTGAGTGTGTGTGTGCGTGTCTGTGTCTATGTGTCAGCGCTTTTTTTCACCCACTTTCAACTCGAGAACCAGAAAAGTTAGAAGGCTGAAACTTTGGGAGTATGTGCCTCTA